TTTTAAGTGCCATAATCATTAGACTAGCCCTACAATTTATCTTTAATGTTCATACAATTTTATCTGATATCAGTCTTTTAGGTTTTAAAGTAATATTCTTTTCTTTGTGCAATTTTTTTTATGAGCTAATATTAAGATAACTCATCCAAATTTGTTTCCAGTGATGGCACGATAAGACATTTCATTAAAAAATCCTTATGAACAAAGTATGGTTTCTCAAAATACGATGCCATGCCAAAAAAAAAAAAACTGCTGGGTTACACAACATGCACAAACAAATCTTTTTCTAAAATGTAATTTAAAACTTCAAAATTGAACAATTTGAATTATGATATATTTTCAATTCAAAAAATCATAGAACAATCTTGCTTAAAAAAGTTACTTATAGTTAACAGAGGCAGTTGGATAGGTATTCAATACTTAATTTATATTGACCCACTAAATTATAATAAATAACATGTGATAACAGAAATGTAATTATAATAAATAACATGAGATAACAGAAATGTAATTAAAAAAAACAACATACATTTACATGATAAATGAAATCGACATTTAAAAATGTTGACAATAATGTATCAGTTTTTTTTCCATTTCTTCATCAGATGAATTATCATCAGATGGAACAGTTGATATTTCATCAGTTGGAACAGTTGATATTTCATCAGTTGGCTCTGCATCTAAGTCTTGAATGGGTGTTGCTTCATATATAGTATTATCAGTATCATGGGACTCTTGATGAATTTCTGCTATAACTGTAAAGTTGGCTCCAGCAGTTTTGTTTGCTTCAACAGGTGTGTTGGCTTCAAGGTCTGTGTTGTTGGTGGTAGCAGAATCATCTTGCTGGTTGAATTCTGGTTCTCGGTCATGATCAATTGTCATCAGGTCTGTGCTTGTTTGGTCATCGAGGGGGCAAGTTGATTCACCTCTGAAATTTAAAAATTCTTATTAATATCTGAATTTAAAAATTCTTATTAATATGTTCATGTTGAATAATTTATACACCATTGTTCTCAAGTAATGGTCTAAAGTTTGATCTATTTGAAAATGGAAATTATGATGTTTCTGTGCTATCCAAGATGGTCGCCAGCTGGGGACTTGATTTACCATAGGATCCTATGGACATTACATAAGAATGTCTTCTTTTAGAGAACCACTGTATGGAATGAAACCAAATATGGCATGAATGCTCCTAATGAGGTGCTTACCAAGTGTTGTTACTTTGTAGGAAATCCAGCAACCAAAATGGCTGCCAATGGGGAACTTACATTTGTAGTTTAAAAAGCACCCTATGCGAAATATATACAAATGTCTTCTTCTAGATAACCTTAATTATGGAACGAAACCAAACATGGCATTTATAAATGTTCCTTATGAGGTGTTGATCAATTTTTGCTACTTTGTTGCCAATTTACTGTTCAAGATGGCCACCAGGATATTTATTTAAATACAGGGCCAATTTTAAACCAGATTTGGCCTCAATCATTATTAAGGTAACTGTTATGTCAATCTAGTCTTACATGATTTATAAATCCAAAGTAGAATCAGGTGAGCGACACATGCTCTTGAGAGCCTCTAGTTTGTTGTTGGGGATGAGATATCGATATACAGGATATAAACCATGCCATGTCCTGCCTGCGATTAACAGCCAGATAATTTGTCACCGGTATTTTTGGCATGATATATTTGTATAAAATTACTGGCTATGCACTTTGAAAATTTCCACTCCAAATAGCGTCAAGCTTTTTTTACAATGCATTTAGTTATAAATTGATTTTGATTTAAGTTTCCTTACCTTTTTGTCTTATTGAGCATCTGACGCACTGTTTGTCCCTGTGTCACAGCTCTTTGTCTGTAATGTAAAAAGTAAAATATAATAAAAGTTGTACACATGTACCAAAATAAATACAGTAGTGCCAATTACATTAATTTCGTCAATATTCTCATTTGTTGTGTAATTGTATGCAATCCACCACTTAGGCTGACAATGGGTTACAATTAAAAATTAATAGTTGGAACTTGAAAAGCTTAAGATGTCACACTTTTTATGCCCCTGCAACTGAAAGTTGGGGGGCATATTGTTTTACCCCTGTCTGTCCGTCTGTCCGTCTAATATGGGTATATAGTTATTCCGCATAACTCCCCCTGCAGTTTGAATGCTAGGAAAGTTTTCACTTTGCTGGCTATTTGTTCATATATTGGAGATGTGCATGTGGTCAGGGTTTTGATTTTTATTAATTGTTGTTCTTTTGGAGGATACTTTGTCATTTTTGGAGTATTGCAATGCATAAGGGGTGCATTGCATTTAATTTGAGTTGAACTTTGTCATTTTTGGAGTATTCATTTGTATAAGATGTAGTCCTACAGTCATGACAGTGAACCATAAACTTATGTGCTCCAATGCTCAACTTTGTGTTTTTTAAAATAAAACGAGGGCATCATTTGTGTCTCCCGGACACAATAATATCTCAGAGAAAATCTCACATTGTCTTTGTTATAATACAATTACTTCAGAGTGGAAAGGAGGTGGGGGCATCACTTTATCTTGAAATTAATTGTGTTTATGATCATTGCAATTGGTTAGCATGAAAAAAGTAGATGATAGCCAATTCATCACTAATTAAATTGAAAATTTCGGTTAGACCTGGATTCAGGAGGGGGGTGGTATAAAGTGAAAAAGCTATCAGAATGATTAAGTCTTAATTGATAGTCGTTTGATGATGTGACTTTTTTGCTAGTTTCTAATGCTGACTGTCATTAAACTAAAGTGATTTCATGAAAACAATTTGTTTTACGTACTTGAGGTTACCATAGTATTGTCTGTTGACTTTCACCCTTCTGATAGCCCGGTTCAACTTTTTGTTGGTTTTTGGTGATGACCGTATCTCCGGAAACATCTCTCTAACTATTCCAATAGTCTTGTGTCTGTTGTCCGACACTTCATCTAGGGTTCTTATGGCTCTCTGCAAATGTAAATTAATTTTGATTTTATTTAACCTGAATAACAAATTTATCCAGCTTTATATAGATTATGCTGTTGGTTTTCCTGTTTGAATGGTTTAACACTAGTCATTTTGGGGCTCTTTTACAAACATGTTGTAACTTGCTCTTCGGTGTGAGCCAAGTCTCCCTGCTAAAGGCTGTACTTTGACCTATAATGGTTTACTTTTTATACATTGTGACTTGGGCCAAATAAAAAAATATGTGTGTTTCCTATTTCGCCACCTACCCTAAATTAAAGCTTAGAAATAACCTTGAAGCTTTTTCAGTGGTGTCACTTTAACTGTTCTAGAGTTATGCCCTTTATAAATAGAAAAATAGCAAAATTTTTAGTTTCCCTTCTCTATCTTAAGTTTGCCTCAAACCAAATGTTATGAAACTTATACACAATGCTTATTACCACTAAATACAGATCAAGTTTGAATTTTGGTGGCGTCACTTAAATGGTTCTAGAGTTATGCCCCTTTATAATGGAAAAATTGCAAAATTTTTAGTTTCCGTTCTTTAACTTAAGTTTTCCTCAACCAAATGTTGTGAAACTTATACATAATGCCTATTACCACAAAATACAGATCAAGTTTGAATTTTGGTGGCGTCACTCAAACCATTCTAGAGTAATGCCCCTTTATAAATGGAAAAATTGCAAAATTTTTAGTTTCCGTTCTCTAACTTAAGTTTGCCTCAACCAAATATAATGAGAATTCTACACAATGCTTATTACCATAAAACTCAGATCAAGTTCTTATTTGGGTAGTGTCCCTTTATAACAATATAATATGCAAGCGGGGGCATCATCTGTGTATACACAATCCACATTTATTTTTCTCTTGATTGAAGATATTGACTTAATATTTGTTATAAAGTTTACACCATGACAAGTTATAAATCAAGTTAAAATTTTGTCGATCCTGCGACTTTTGTCGCAGAAAACTCGACATAGGGAAAGTGATCTGGCGGCGGCGTTAGCTAACCTTTTAAAAGCTTTATATTTTAGAAGGTGGAAGACCTGGATGCTTCATACTTTGTATATACATTGTAGATGCCTTATGTTGCGAAGTTTCCGTCAGTCACATGTCCAATGTCCTTGACCTCATTTTCATGGTTCAGTGACTTCTTGAAAAAAAAGTTAAGATTTTTTGTAACATTAAATTCTCTCTTATTATAAGTAATAGGATAACTATATTTGGTATGTGCGTACCTTACAAGGTCCTCATGCCCGTCAGACAGTTTTCACTTGACCTCGACCTCACATCATGGATCAGTGAACAAGGTTAAGTTTTGGTTGTCAAGTCCATATCTCAGATACTATAAGCAATAGGTCTAGTATATTCGGTGTATGAAAGGACTTAAAGGTGTACATGTCCAACTGGCAGGTGTCATCTGACCTTGACCTCATTCTCATGGTTCAGTGGTTATAGTTAAGTTTTTGTGTTTTGGTCTGTTTTTCTTATACTGTATGCAATAGGTCAACTATATTTGGTATATGGAAATATTTTATGATCTTTATGTAGGTCGCACAGGTTTTATTCGACCTTGACCTCATTTTCACGGTTTATTGCTCAGTGTTAAGTTTTTGTGTTATGGTCTGTTTTTCTTAAACTATAAGCAATAGGTCAACTATATTTGTTGTATGGAAGAATTGTTAGCTGTACATGTCTGCCTGCATGGGTCATCTGACCTTGACCTCATTTTCATGGTTCATTGGTCAATGTTTAGTTTTTTGGTTAATGTTAAGTTTATGTGACAGTGGTAATAAAGCTTTATATTTAGGACTATCAACATAATATCAATGATTAATAAAGAAGGCGAGACATTTCAGCGTGTGCACTCTTGTGTTCCAATACAATGAATTTGTAACTGGTAGTGATCTACATGTATGTATTGCCATGCAATACTCACAGAAGGCTTGTTTATTTATAAATGTTGCATTATAATGATTTTAGTAAATATCAATCACACAATTCCAAATTCACTAAAAGCTGTCTTTTCTTTCAGAACTTGGGAAAAGTGAAAGGACACAAAGAAGAAAACAACAGAAATTTTTTAATACCATCAGTAGTTCAATCAGGAAATCGTCATACCTGAAGCCAAATTTTTTACCAATAGAGAATAATGATGAATCCCTTAGCGAAAAACTTCAAGAACCACTATATCCGGGTTGTCGTACAACACTGCTTGACTCCTTGTTTAGACACTTTATCAACTTTAGCGCAAACAATGGAATGTCAAAAACAGCACTAAGCATGTGCCTTAAAAATGAGAAGACAGTGTTGCCAACTCCCAACTGCCTCCCAGAATCATACAAAGATGCATATCAGCTGATTAAACCAATGATTATTGAAACAAGAAGATATGATGCATGTGTAAATGACTGCTTGCTTTTCTGTAAAACAAATGACAATGACTATTCATTAGACAGAGAGTGTATGAAATGTGGTGAGACACGATATAAAGCAGAGTCCTTAAGTGCACGCAAAACTTTCACATATATGCCTATTGGACCAAGACTTTCAAGGATTTTTGGTAGTGACAATATATGCAAGATTCTGTATTCGAGACAAGATCTATGCAATGGAAAGCTAACAGACATTGTTGACGGAAAGATATACAAATCTTGGTATAAAGATGGAGGTGTTTTTCAGAACATGGAGGAAAGTTGTACGGTTCCTTTGGCACTTTTTTGTGATGGGCTTAATCCACACAAAAGTATGGCAACTCAAAAATCAATGTGGCCATTAATCCTCACCTGGCTCAATTTGCCTGTAAATATCAGAAATATTTTAGGACCAATGATGTTAGTTGGCATTGTACCTGGTACAAAGACAGAAGAGCCAAAAAACCTAGATCCATACTTGGACCTTTTAGTGGATGAATTGCTAGAACTGTCAGATTGCACAATGTTTAATGCCTACAGAGGAGCCCCTACATCAGTCCGAATAGCACTCCTGCATTACATGTGTGATATTCCCGCATTCAGCAAGATTTTGCATGTTTCAAGCCAGGCTGCACTCCGTGGTTGTCCTTATTGTAAAGAAGAAGGATTCTATTGTAAATCATTACACAAAGTTGTTCACATCAATAATAGAGCTTACCTACCAGAAAATCATCCCTTGAGAGGGGAAAAGAATGACTTTGCTATCAAAGGTGAGGACAGAACAATGAAACCAGAGTCGTATACAAAAGAAGAAGAATTAGAAATCAGAAACAATTATGATGAGCTTCCAAATCAAAATAGAAAATCTCTTCTACAGAAAAAAACAGGACTTAAAGGAAAATATAGTTTCATGAGACTGCCTTATCATAACCGTCAAGAACAAATGCAGCCTGATGGCATGCACACCATTGCAGATGTAATTGGCAATCCCTTTGGCCTCATAACTGGAAAAGATGATGGGAAAAAGGTACGAAATGGAGAAGAAGAGTTTCATCGATTTAAGGATTCATGGAACAGCAGTACCAGTAACAGTGTTGAGGAAACAGACGCAGGAAGCAAGAAAAGAAAATCAAATACAGAAAACGGGAAAAAAACTAAAAAAGCTAGAGTAGAATCAAAGACAGCAGAAAATGATGATCTACCCCCAGCTCCATGGAGACTTGATAGATCCAGTGTTAAAATTGCTGATCAAAGAGCCATGTCATTGGTGTATTCAACAGGATATGACTACCACCCAGACCAGCATTTGTCAAAGCCATGGACACTGAGGACTATGCATGGAAAACATCAGGTAATTAGCTTTTTATATTGTTGTTCTTGTTAAGAGAATGATAACATGTAGATCTGTGACTGCACTAATGCTTTTTTATGCCCCACTTATGAACAGTGTGTTTTTCGGTCTGTGCCTCCGTTTGTTTGTCCTGCTTCAGGTTAAAGTTTTTGGCCATGGTAGTTTTTGATGAAGGTAAAGTCCAATCAATTTAAATCTTAGAACACATGTTCCCTATGATATGATCTTCCTAATTTAAATGCCAAATAACAGTTTTGAACCAAATTTCAAGGCCTACTGAACATAATATATGATAAATAAACTCATCATAGATACCAGGATTAAATTTTATATTTAAGCCAGACAAGCGTTTCGTCTACAAAAGACTCATCAGTGACGCTCGAATCCAAACATTCCTAAAAGTTTTGCCAAATACAGCTAAGGTAATCTATTCCTGGGGTAGAAAAGCCTTAGTAAGTGAGTTGGGCATCTGTGTACTATGGACACATTCTTATCTTTATTTTCACTTTTGCCCGCCAAATACTCAATTTGGAACAAATTAAATTAAGTTAGCAAGTAATTTTTGCACATGGATTGGACCTATGCGGTATGGACTTTGCTTGTTCATTGTTGAAGGCCGTACAGTGACCTATAGTTGTTAATTTCTGTGTCATTTGGTCTCTTGTGGAGAGTTGTCTCATTGGCCTGTACAAAAATGTGTACTTTTCAGTGAAAATGGACGTCACACTAAAATGCAAAATATTATTGAATTAAGATATTAATGAATTAAAATTAAAAAAAAAAAATACAGAGGCTCCTTAATTGGGACAAGGGTTAAATATGTTTTGTGATATCTAAACCATCACCCATACCTTTAACCAATGTAGAATATACAAACACACAACAACACGCACAGTAAAACTTAGATTCCGATGTTGTCGGTTTATGTGGTTTGTCAGCGGTCAATGCGGTATGGGCGTTCCTCATTTTTGAAGGCTGTACGGTAACCTATAGTTGTTAATTTCTGTGTCATTTGGTCTCTTGTGTAGAGTTGTCTCATTGGCAATCATAGTGATGATACCACATCTTTTTTTAAGTTACAGGTCAAGTTTTAATATTGGTCCAGTCTGGTGATTTTGTGCAGAGCTATGGTCCTTGGTATATTGTTTACACCATGACAAGTTATAGATCAAGTTAGAATTTTGTTCCATTACAATGAATGTTTAACAGGTAGGGGATTATGTATTGCCATGCAATACTCACTGAATGCTTGTTTGTAATGGTCTTCATTGCAATTTTAAAAAATCAGACAATTATAAATATTTGTTGGATGTTTAATTTTAAAAATGCTGCCACAAGATTTCAAGTATACATGTCATGTATGTAGGTAGTTGATGTTGTAATACTGTTGTACAATTTGTGAATTTTGTTTTCAATTTGACAGTTTGATAATTACACTGCATTCTTCTTATATTTTTTATATAAAAGTAAATTTTTTGAGTATTTTTTGTACCCACATGTACAATGTATGCATGCCATGCACCACACAAAACAATAGACCCTCTGAAGTATTTGACCATTTATTTGACATTTTCAGTTTGTAACCAGTGGAGCTGCACTTTGGTGTCTACGAGGACTATTGCCCACTAAACAAGAGACAACATTAGGGAAGCTTTTTAATGTGATTGAGTTGCTGACCAGTGAATCTTATCATGAAAACGAATTGGAATACATTATTGAATCTACAAGTGAAGCTGTTTCATTGGTGGAAAGAGATTTCCCTATTGCATTACAGGTATGAGACAAACTTAATCAGAATGTGCATTTAGTTTTATCTTCACAAAAGATAAATGTCAAAATTGGCTGTGTTAGCTTTGAAAGTACAAATGTAATATGGAGTTCAAAAAGTAAAGATAAAACTTTTTAGTTGTATAATTTAGAAATTTACATATTCAATAAAAAGATTGACAATAACAAGTTAGATTTTAATACACATTGAAGTATTCTGTAGTTAACATTCTAGTTTAAACCAGTGAGTTCTCTGACGTGTTAAAATATATGTATCACTGCTTTGCTAATTAAATAGTTTCAGTCATAAAAAAATATGAATCGTTTTCACATTAAACTGATAATAAGAACTTTGGTAAGTTTGTCTATGAGGTGACTTACTGTAACTAACATCTAAAGTTCAAATTAGGGAGATTGATGCAACTATTGATTACTACACAACCTTCAACAATGAGAAAAACCTGTGTTGTAAGATATAAAAGGCTCCAACGCATTATTAATATCAATGAATTCAACTGATAAAGCAGGTAAATACATGATACACTGATGAGTCATATTATTAAGGATGTATGTACTAATGTGAGGTTTAGGAATTTGTGTCGGATCTTGGAACTCCTTGAATTTTTTCCCAACAATACAGGGTAAAATATTTCGCCCCATAACACCCATTTTTCTTTTCATATACAAATTAATTAGCTCTTAATATTAAAGTCATTTACCAAAATTTAAGCAGCAGCTTTGATTTTTTTTTTTTCTTTCGAATTGTGATTTGTGGTATTGGTATTTGCAGTGTTCTGTGGTTTGCTAAAGTGTATGTCATATTTATTTTAACCATTACTGATACATTGTATTTTGTTTATGTTATAGACTATTACAACACATCTACTTCATCATATACCAGAAGGATTTGCAAATTTTGGTCCTCTTTATGGGAGGTGGTTGTTTCCATTTGAAAGAGTAAACAGTTGGATAACCCGTCAAGCTTTAAATAAAAACAAGATTGAAGCAACAATCATGGAGACTTATGCTGTAAGTATATGCCATATTAGACAACTAAATAATTATATTTCAGTCCCAACACCAGATCATTACCCAAGTATTCTTTATATGAACATGAAAATTTTTGTCACAAGATTTTCATGTCAATTTTTATGTTTAACGATTTGAAATTAACAAGATTATTATAAATTATAAAGTATATCAATGAAGGAACTAAAAGAAAACATGAAAAAATGTAGGGTCTTTGTGATTGTTTTCAAGATATAAGCCGTTGAAAACTTGGCGGGAAGTGAATCCCTCTAGATTTTTTATACATTTAACATAGGCATCAATTTTTCTTTCAAAAACTATAAGAATAACGGATTTTTAAATAAGGCCTCTTAAACTATTTGTTGTAAAAAGATATAAAAAGAAAAGAAAGGGTTTGGTAACAGAATGTGTCAATGGCACTCATTACATCAGTAAAAGCAGAGGATTCAGAATAACAGGCAAAAATTCAAAAGCAAGGAACATTCTTAAGCTAGATTTTATTTCATGGTTATATTTTTAAGAAGTAATTTTCCTACCCTTTTTTTCATTAAATGTACTGTCATGACAGTCATAAAGCAATGGAAAACCAAAACCTTTTCGAATTTTGTTTTAGGCGACAAGTTTGATTTTGACTGTTTTTGATTTGGAAAACGATTATATGAATGTATAATCTTATTTTATATTTAATATCAGAAATCCAGTGGACCCGTTCAGGTCTTCCATGTTAAACCTTAAATGAAATATCCATTTTTATACGCCCGTTTACGGGACGTATTATGGTATACTGTTGACCGTCCGTCGTCAACATGTCGGACATGAACTCAAAAAGCTTTAACCAATATGCATGAAACTTTGGTGAATTGTTTATATCTATTGACGTGAGCTCCCTTTCGTTTTTTATAAATTTCAGATTGATCATTTCTGAGTTTTGGGGTTTTATTCATTAAAAAAGGAGGGATTTTCCAGTTCTCCTGAAACTTTGGTCAATTGTTTATATCTGTTGATGTAAGCCCCCTTTAGAATTTTATAAATTTTAAATTTTACATTTCTGAGTTATGGGGTTTTATTTATTAAAAAAAGGGGGGATTTTCCAGTTTTTGGACAATAACTCAAAAATGCTTTCAGCAGTTCTCATGAAACTTTGGTGAATTATTTATAGCTATTGATGTAATCTCCCTATTGATTTTCATTTTCATTGAGAAGAAATTGAACTTTATTTGATTTTAATCTGACAACAGATTTACTTAGTATTGCACAACAGCAAGAAATCTTTAATTGAAGATAAATTCAATTCATATAACCAATTTCAAGTTCTTTGACTACATTTATTCAGAAACCTATAATATGTCAAATATTTAATTACAATCCAAATTCAGACCTGTATCAAGCTTGAATATTGTGTCCATTTTTGCCCCAACTGTTCAGGGTTGGACCTCTGCGGGCATATCCAGCTGTGCTCAGCGAAGCAGTTTATTTAAATTGTTTCTCATGGTCATTTTTTATTTTTTAGATTTACGATTGGTGTGTCTACATGATAATGTCTGGAAAGGTCAAACAAGATGATATTGACATTGGTAAACTAGAGAGACTTCTTTTAGAAGATGAAAAAGATGACAGTTGTAGTACAAATGAGAAAAAATTCTCTATTGATGATAACATTTTGAGGGAAATGGCCAATATTTATGACTTTTGTTTGATTTCAAGAATGAGAAAGGAAGGCAACGAACTTGCTTCATGCACAAGATCCTATGGAAACACTGGCAGGAAAATCAAATTTTCACCTTATTCTAATAACAAATCTTCAAATTCATACGTGTATGCTGTAGATCAACAGCCAACTGATTCATTTCTTGACAGTATGATATTTGGTTCAATTTGTAAGATTTTTGAGCATGTTTGGAGAGGACAAACATACACCTGGGTTTTACTGGATATACTTGATGATGTTAGATATGAAGATGGATTCTGGAGTGTGTTAGAGAGTAAAACCTCACAGAAAGCTGTTATGTTGAAAGATGTCAGTGCTCCTCAGATTGTTGGGAGAGAAAATGATCGACTTCATTATGTCAGTACATGTATCTAGCTTGTAATTGATCAGTTTTCTTTTCTTACAATGTATATAGACAATGTTTAAAATTTCTCCAAAACTGCTGTTAAAATTTTACTTCCTTGATACCAATGAGTATTAATGTTAAATAAAAGCTCCTTTTCTTAAAAATACCATAAGAATCTTTGTTTCAGACTGAAAAGGTCAATATATTTACATGAAATAGAATATTCTGTCCATATTTACACATATAACTGTCTGAATACTGTTAATTCAGAAATTATTGCATGCATTTATTATTGCGATTTTGTCATTTTAGACTAATTTTAATTTTTGCGATATTCAGAAATTTCCTGTTTGATTCAAAAATAAATTTTAAAAATGCGAGTTTTAATTATTGCGATGATAACCCTGTCGCATTTTTCACAATAATAAAAACATCGCAATAATTTCTGAATATACAGTATTCATGATATGTTTAGATATGAGTAGTTATTTATTTGTTATTTTATATTGGAATGTAAGGTTAAAGTGATTAAAGGAAAATCTCAAATTCTTAAAGCTATTTAGTAAGATAGGTTTTTCTTGTAGTTATCTTTTATAATGTTTTGTACATGTGTATTCCTTCTTACCCATGATACTTGGCCAGAAGTATGGCTGTTTCTATAGGAAAATGGAATACCACCAGATTTCGTGTACATAGAATTTTTTTTTATTCTAAGTCTTAAAGTCTCAGAGATTTTTAACTATTTGTCAGTACAATCTGTACATACAATATATATATATATATAAATAAATTTTATTTTGAGTGTTGCTCATCGATTGAACCTGTACATAATTACAAATAAATTTAAGTGATCTCTTAAAAATGAAATTAATGCCCAGCCAAAACAAAGTAAAAGGATAAGTATAAAATTTGGCATACAGATAAGGCTAACTTGTACTTATTTTAAGTGAATAATGTCGTAACATCTTTATTTCTTATTATGTATTTAGAAACATTTTCAAACTCTAGCTCATATATTTTATACTTATCAACAAAATCACACACTTATTATTTTCTATGAAGTTAAAAAAAAAATTTGAATTGAAAAACAAAAAAAATAAAAATTTATAGATTTATAACCAGTTAATATTTTTGACACAATAAATTTTGAAGTTCAACTTATTTGTAAGGAAAAACGTGGTGTTTTTTTTTTTTGTATTGCTGAGTTTATAAAAGTGTATCATATGATCATTGATAATAATTATTTCTTAATTTGCCAGGGTATTTTTACATGTGACAGCACTAGTTTATACATTTGATCTTGCTGTATTGAATTACTAGTCTTTTAGATGTGTAATTGTTACATTTTGTTAAAAAAATATGAATAAAAATATTCTTGCACACAAAGGAGTAGGTCCGGTAAGGGCCGATTTTAGCCTCAAAATTCAAGTTCATCTGATGAAAGATTTTGGACACTTTTTAAACACTTAAGTGTCTTCTTCAGTCGATTCAATCAGTTTATGTGAAAGATTTGAACTGATTTAGTCATTAAAGACGCTCAAATTCAAGCTTAAATATGAAAAATCTATCAAATATGCCATAATATATCACTTTTCAGATGGTTTTTGTCAAAAATGAATGTGGCCGCATCCGTGTTCATTCTCAACCTTTATATATGTTATGTATCATCATCAAATACAACTTACATTTAAATATAAAGAATGAACACAAATGCGGCCACTTCCATTTCAGACGGAAACCGTCTAAAAATTAACCAAAATACTAAAATTTCGAAGATTTCAATAATTTAGCATGACTGAATGATGCTAGTACCCGATACATGTGCATTGTATTGTCAAAAACAGCCCATATTTATGTAACAGAAGTATTCTTCTTTCCAATAAATAGCTAAAAATTTATATTTTAACAATTTTGTAAAACTGCTATATTTTGGGGCCAAAAAGGGGTCTTACTGGGCCTACTCCTTTGTCTTTCTTCTTAGCTGAAACACTAACAAGTAAGAAAACAAGTTATATTGGCATCAGTTACATGTCAATAATGTTTTCAGTCACTCCTAAGTATACCTGCATATTTGTTGAGTGTTAAATTGTTTGTTTTTTCCAAACCACACCAAGATGTACTCTGGACATGTATGAACAGAACAAGCATGAAGACATCCAAAAATAAATTTTCATAAAAAAGAAAACAGTTAAATGATACCACATGTGCTAATATGGAATAAACAGAACAAAATACAGTATTGGGTCGTCATGACATATTGTTTGGTGGATAGTCATTCAGTGCCAAACAGTTGGAAAGTAGTCTTGATATTTTTCTTGTATGACAGCAGTATAATGTCTTCAGCAGTTGATATTTTGTATAGACCTATCATTGGTTAAATAGGGCAATACGGATACTTTAATATATTTCAGTACGCTATGTGTGCAGGGTTTAGCTGTAATTAATATTTCAATTCTCAGTATGTGAAAAATAATAATCTGCAATTGTTTTTATAGTTATAAATAGTTGTCTTCGCACAAACACCAGTTGAAAGAGACTCCAGCTAATATTCACTCGAGAAGGAAGCCATGATTTTTAATGTTGGCATAAGAATTTAACATTATCAGACAAATGCTAATGATATTTAATAAGCGTTAAAAAAATAGTCACAATAGGTATATTCATAGGCTTCCAAAAATTAATTGGATATGCTTTAGAAGGATGGACTTTCAAATCACCGTCATCAACAAGTAAACACATACAAATAAGGCGACATCTTTAAGCTTTTTTTAACAAGATTCAATACCATGTTGCGTCTTGAATAAGTCGATACAAAATTCTCAATAGAATATGGAGTAAATGCACATTGAATATGCACGCAATTAAACATACAAATCTCTCGTGGTAAAAAAAGCTGTAATTCAATGTTTCGACATGAAATGTTTTATCTAAATAAAAGGAGATGTGATATGATTGCCATTGAAATTGATTTTAGAAGTTAATGGCATATGTTGAAACAGAAACAAAGGTGTTCGGTAAGATATGTGTACTGGTATCTTCATTGCTGTTCTCTTTATTAGACGTTATATCGAACACAATTATTAAATGAATTGCTGTTTAATTACAACTATTTATCATTATTTTCATTTCTTTGAAATATTTTCAATCATTGAATTCTGTCCAGACAATAGCCGTTTGTCAGGCAATTAAACAGTTTAGTTGTCTTTTAAAACAAATTACACAAGCAATTAACTTAAAATATGTTTCACTTGTGAAACTAATGATTAAGTAACAACTTGGATTAATGGCTTTATTGTTTTTGATTTAATTTTAATGAGAATAACATCAAAAGCTACATGTAAAGAGTCGAAACAACAAACATGTTAATTTTTTAATTGATCTACGTGTAAGTTATTAATTAATTCAATCGTAAAGGAAAAAAAGCAAACAATTTACCTATATATTTAAACTGCTTTTTTTTCCAATTTAACGATGAACTGATCAAAATACAAATTTTGAAATGATTTAAAACGCAAAAAATTGTAAAACTATTTTACACCAGCCTTATATCAATCAAAACTAATTAATTTATATTTATTCTTATAATTTACCGATGTAAAAATGAAGCCGGACAGCTTGAGAAAATTTGATGATTATATTTCTTTGGTTTATAAAAATATTGACCTTTTATGAACGACATAAAAACATGTACATGAAAAGAAAGAAAAAAATGCCAATTTAATTATAGGCCAAACCATTGACTTCGATTGAGACTTGTATCTTTGGCATGCATACCACATATCTATAAATACCAGTAATTTCAGATTTATCTTCTTAAACTTAAGTTACAATTATATATTATATGGTGTACTCACATGAAGCAAGGAATGGGCAACATTGCCCCTGGTGAAGTAACTGTCGGAACTGTATCCGTAGCTAATGTCCGGATCTGTTTGTGTTGATATTGTTGCTGTAGGGACAGGTTTCCAACAGCTGCATGCCTCGTTGTGGGCGATCAGTTTGGCACAACATAAACATCCAATAGTACATATAGCGCGATTAAAATGAGTTGGTTGAGAACCTGGTTGACTGAAGCTTGTATCCATGATTAATGAGATAATCACGTTTAAAAATTATTGTTTATATATGAGGGGGGCTTCGGTCAGGGAAGCCATACCTCTGTTTGAGTGCATGGCAAGCCAAGGGGTGCAGGGTATTGTCATAAATTCTCTGGAATTATCAAACACTTACCTGTCAGCAGATGTCAACCCTAATTAATAAACTCTGTGTTGTTGTAACTATTTCCTTGTGTTTGTGTGCATCTATTTTATCAGATATTCTAAAAAAAAATACTATAATGAACGAATTAACTTTATTCTCATAAAACTACATTTCATAGTTACAGAGAAAATATATATTTACAACGACAAATACCTATATAGAGAACATGCACATAGGTGAAAACTTGACTTCACTTAGCTTGTAGGACCGATTTACCTGTATTATTTGTAGAAACTTAGATTATTTGTATATAAGATGATCGATAATGCTGTCTCAATTCAGAGTCTGAACTTAATAAACCATTAATTTTGTATGAATATAGTATAGAATCTAATAGTGTTTCTTTTGATATAAAATTTACAGCAATATTCCAGTAAAAATGCGGTACGTCTAAAAACCGCTCAGGACATCAAAAGTGCACTCAGGACACGTAATAGATGTCTTAGTGAGCGTTAAGGGTAAGCATTCGATAGATTATTTAAAATTGATCTTATACTTTTTATTTTGATAAAATCAATTCCATATTTGAGAAGTTTTTATCGGCACGCGACGTTTTTTTTTTATTTGTTATGCACGACAGATGATCATATTCAATACCAATTATCGTGTTGATTAGGTCATTTGATCTTTTATAAGTAGGTGTGTCACTGTGATTAGTGATGGTAATAAACACCACAAGTAAACTCGGTAAACAAACAAAAAAGGGTTCCTTTGAAAAATAATAAACATATTATTGTTTTTGCAAAAATGTTAAATAAACTTTTCATTT